AGGCGAGCAGACTCGGGCTGTTTTATTTTTAAAACTTTGAAAATTCATAGCTCGAGATGCGAGTGTACGATTGATGCATGGTTCAGATTGTTGGAAAGCTGGGTTAACTTACTTCCTCTTAAAAATATTCTTAGTACCATAATTCCAACTATTTGACGCGCGGACAATTGTTTCATAATATCGAGTTATGTCGTCTTATAAAATGCATGCAAATGTTTTGGGTAATTGATAATTGGTGATATTATAAGACTAATGATAACAATGATGTTATTGTGTAATTAATTATGATGACTTTGATGTTGATGACTATATTAAGATGATATGTTGAATAAAGTGAAGAATGTGCATGGGTGACATATATATATATATATATATATATATATATATATATATATATATATATATATATATATATATATATATATATATATATATATATATATATATATATATATATATATATATATATGGGGGGGGGGGGGGGGGGGGGGTTTGCGAATAATGTTGTTGACGATTTCATGAATGATGGTACGACTTGACTAGCTGTGGTCGTTGGATTGTTGCGCATCATGCATTCATGGTATATTTTGGACAGCTTTGGTCCACCCGTGTTGATTTAGGATGTTGGTCCAGTGTTGGCCTCAATTCTATTGTGTGGATTGAGTGTGTTGATGTTGTGCTCCAGTTCCAAGAGGGAATCAATCCTATGGTGGGGATATTTGAAGGGTTATGAGTCAAGTACTCATAAGATTTGGTAACACATACACGAGTCTACGTTATTGCATTACATTCTATGTGAAATTGCACGATTGTTAATTAGTTGATGTTTTGATGTTGTTATGATGTAAATGGTGTTGATGAATTATTGTTGAGTTAATGAGTTTCACAATGATGTTGTGATTTAAATGATGATTTGATGTTGTATTATGATGATATTAAAAGAGTGAGTTTAGTATGTGATGCATGATGTTATATGATAGATGTACTGTATGATGTTGTTGTTTGAACTACTATATCTTTTTCTTATATCTTTTGTAATGAATTGTGATTACTCACTCTTTTTATTTGAATATTGCCTCCATGTGAGTAACGCGCAGGTGATTGCAAATAGATCATAAAAGCGTGAGGATAGCTTTGGAGTGTTAGTGTGTTTCGTCTGAATAAAAAGGGCCTTGCTCTGATATGTAACATCGGAGTTTTAGGAAACGTTTGACTTGAACCTTATGTTCCTTTTGTTGACATGATGTATAAGTTATTTTTAATTGTTTAGGTTATTTTGAATCACGACTTATGAATGATGAAGTGTGATGAAATTTTTCTTTGAAAGTTGATAATGAAAATATGTTGAGATAATGATTCCGCTGCGAAGTTTTGAAGATATGGGTTGATGTTACTAAAGATATAATTGTTTTTAATTTTTGAAAACCTTTGTTACAGAGCAGGGTATTTGATTACAATGTTTTTATAAAGCATGTGACACCCTTGTTGGTGCTTTACTCTGATTTATTTATTAAATTATTCGTAAATTATTAGTTGGGTTTAGAAGGGTGTTACATAGCGCATCCATTTATGCTTTGGTGCATGTCCACTGACGCAAGGTACTAATGCATCATAAATCTCTTCAACTTTTTTATTAGTCCCGAGCACCTGCGTGTATAATTCTCTATTTCTCCTCAACTCTCTGATAAGATTATCGCGAAAAAGTTGGTGACCGCCTTCCCTTTCACCCAGCAAACCAAAAACAACCCGAAAACCACAGTTACCGTCACCAGCAACATTGACGATCCGTTCAATATACTTGTACATAAAAACCGACATCTCCTCAATGAATGGTATTTTTGGTGGAGTAGGTGTAGGAGGTGGTTTGCTAATACGAGCTCCTTTGAAAACACTTTTCTGAGATTTTGGAGTAGGTGAATCGGGAAATACTTTGTCAAAGTGTTCAAAATATGAAGGACTCCTTTTTGTAGAATTGTTGCATGGTGTTGGTTTCACATTCTTACGTGCCCCTTTAGTTTTTACCGGTTGAGAGGGTGGTTTTAAATCAATGGTCTCCGGAAATGCAATCTTCCTCAGTTGCTCTTTGATGTGGAGATTGGTGGACACATCAGCTTTCAAAAATCTTTTCTGTATCATTTCCCATTCAGTCAAGATGGAGATACTAGATTTATCGTCTTTCATTTTACCGTCATCTTTAAAACCGAGTCTCTCCAATGATTAGAGACCTCGTCCATACATATCAGGAAATTAATTTTTATCTTCTTAGATATGACACAGGCACAAGGGAGTTTATATGTTTTCATAATTGTGCAACCAGACTTTGAGCTGTCTGAACCTATATTATCAGCTCGTTTGGCTTCATGAAAAAAGAAATTCAGAGTTGACCGAGAGATGTTACCGACCAACTGAGAATATATGATTGTCTTTGAACATGTGTTCCAACACCGTGATACTTTGACCAAATGTTATTTGTATCTCATTATGTTGGTTTAGTATCATACGGTTCACAAAATCTCATTCTGTAATCAAATCACCCTTACTATTTCCCAGCCAATTCTCCAGACACACATGAGCAGACTCAACTCGGTTTGTGGTTGCATTTCTGAGGTGCATAATCTGATCGGTCCAGGCATAAACAATCTTCTCCTTTACCTGATCCAAAATTGTGCTTTCAACATATTTTAGTAGATCGGGATAGCTCACGCAACGCCTTGACCAGTTTTCCATTTTCATCTGCAATCTATTTTGTACCTACCGCGGGTTTCACCTGACTTCTCACATTTTTAGTAATGTGATACCTACAAAGTAGTGCGTAAGAAGTGGGAAATATCGTTGCAACCGAACCTAATACGCCCATGCAAATATTTTTGTCTAGGAATGTTATTTTTTATGAAAATATTTTTCCTTTTCATCAAGGCATTTCTGAATCACATGAATCATTAATTCATATCCTTCCTACTGAACCACAAGTCAATATGGTATCTCAATCACATGGAACTCAATCATCTAACTCCTCATCTGGTACTCTTTATCCTCGCTCTGATACCATGTTAATTGCATAGGAGTAAATAAACTCTCATTGTTATTGATAATGAAAGTATGGATTTGTTTATATACAAGTTTAGTTGTGTAACTAACTTAAACAGAATGTTTAACAGTTCTAACAAACTCTTAACAAACTAACTAACTAACTACAAGTCAATACATAATGAGAAATATATTAAACCATTTAATAAAATCAGGATGAGTACAATAAATATCGCTTACTATTACCAAATCATCGCATCTTCGGTGCCTACAAACATAATTGTTTCCATCTAGAAGTTCCAAGAGGCGTTACATTTCGGTTCGATCCCCCATAAACGCTAATTTGGATAAATAGCATCTATTGTACACTTGCTTGATATTTGATGTATTCCTGGGTCTCTTGCGCTTCAAGGTTGCAAGTATGTTTTTGGGCGGTATCAAATTCAATGTCATGTCGGAAACACATGTCTTCTCATCCGTAAGTAGCCGATATGCAATTGGATGACCGACTAACCTTAGACTTAAATCATGATTGTGTAAACCACATATCACATTAAATCTCCATTTCTTGTTTGTCAACAAATAACCACACAACTTAAATGGACATTCACATTTCCTTGAACCGGTATCGTCGTGTTTCAAATTCTGGGTCCGACACATATATTTCCCACTTCTTTCGCATGTCAAAGTCACAAATGCACATCTTCTATCCATACCATTATCGGACCTTCCAATCACAACACCAAACCCTAGTTTGGTGGCCTTTGTACGAATCCACTGCAACATGTCCTCACGTAATTCAAACTCCTCTTCAATTTAAAAATGCGCACGAATATCTACCCCTTACTTATGATATGAGATACAAGAGATGAAACAACTTGAGACACATTATTTTTGGGAATGTTATCTTGTTTCATCATATCTAATGTGAAGAAAAAAATTAAACTAATTAATACACAGTTGTTGTAAATGAAAGCATATCTAGGAACCAGAAGTATATCTTCCGTAACGTTCAACTACTAACCAAAAATATATTTTCGGTATTAGCGTAACCTTATTCCAAATGAAAAATAGATTAATGTGAAGAATGAGGATTGAAATGAACAATCTTTACCTGAAATTCCACTTTCTTGAGCTCCTTTTGATATGATGAACCACGAGAATAGAGATTGAGAGTGAATAAAATGGATTGAGAATGGAAGGATTTTTGAGAGGATTTATGAAAAGATGAAGAAATGAAGATGGTCATCTTGATCATGCTAGTTACTGTTTTAAGTATTTTGCATTTTTCATAATACCAGAAGATTTTTCCAATTATATGTAAAAATAAAAGGTGGCAGAAAATTCAATGTTCCCGCTATATAAATCGAAAATAGAATACTAATTACAACCAAAAATATATTCTCGGTTTGGTTTTTCTCTTTTATATGGGGTAGAACTACATTTAATCTTTTTGTGAATTTAACCGATTTCCAAAAACAATTTAAAAAATGCATAAGATTTTTCTTTCCGCTATAGAATGGAATGAGAAATTCTCTAAAATTAATATAGATATTATAAATATAAATAAGAAAACAAAGTAAAAGCGTTAGTTTGTTAACGTGGAACCAGTTTAAGAAGCGCGCCAATATCTCATTCCCTTTCTTTCTACGAAACTTCCGCATCTTCACTTTCTCTCGCAATTGCTCAATCCAATTTTCCTCTGAAACTAATCACACACTTGTTCATGCAAATTTTACACACCCTTTTACCAATTTTCAATCTTTTTTACATTGGTATGAGAATTCTTCATCTGGGTTGTTCTCAGATTTTGAATCAATAGAATCCTCTACTACCATTTTTGAATCTGAGGCATTTTTGGGAAATTTTTCATCTTGAGGTTTTTGGAGACTTTGATGAGAGGCCCAAGTAGAAAGTATGACGCTTGAGCTTTCTCTTCTTCACTGGTTTCCTTACAATTTCTTTCAGATGGAATGGCAGATCCAGATAGTTATGGCAATCCTGAACGTGATATTGAACAAGTTAGTTTCATCATCAGATTTTAATCTTATTCTCTATTCAAATTATTTGTTTAGTATCTGAAAAAAATATTAGAATGTTGATTATTTTTCATCATGCATGATCATATTTGTTTGCTTCAAGCTATGTAGCATCATCGGATTTATGTGCGAATCCGATGCGTGACACCTCTGACACATGTCAGTGTCTATCGCCGACACTATTGACAGATGTTATAACATTCGATAAATTCCATTTTTTAAAACTATTATACGGGTCTACATGTGTCAATGTCAGTGTTGTGACTGATGTTCATGTCTGTGTTTTATTTTTTGTGAAGGCATTCCTTACTTTAAAAAGAGGAACTCAGTTAGTTAAGTATAGTCGAAAAGGGAAGCCAAAACTTTGTAATTTCAGGCTTTCGCAGGTTAGTTTTTTCACTTGTATTTATATTATATACGCGTCGAATTTCATATCAATGTATGGATGATTTCATATTAAGTTGCATTAGCAGGATGAAACATCACTGATTTGGATTTCTCATGGAAAAGAAAAGAATCTGAACTTGTCTTCTGTTTGGCGCATCATCTCGGGACAGAGAACAGTAAGTTAAACGATGCCTGGGTTTTTCAGAGACTGCTATAGTTACCTATGAAGCACTAACACAGACACAAACACGTCACATTTATAATAATTTGAAAAGATAAATAAATTAAAAGTAATCACAAGTGTCCGTACACACCTTTTTTCAGAGATAATTACGGTTAAATGAGGCACTTACTTATGCTTTGCAGGCTGTCTTTAGAAGATATTTGCGCCCTGAAAAGGATTATCTCTCATTTTCACTTATTTACAAAAAAGGCGAACGGTCACTTGATCTGGTTAGAGAAAACACTGAATCTCTCTATGTTGGACTTGCATTTTTGTCTATTTCATATGAATTTTGAATCAACTGCTTTCCCTTTTCAAATTTGTAGATCTGTAAAGATACAGCTGAGGTTGAGATTTGGCTTTCGGGCCTTAAGGCATTAATTTCTACTGGACAGGGTAGAAGGCGGCACACTAGAAGTGAATTAACAGATGTGAGTTGGAATAGACGTTATTTAAATGATAATTTAGTTTTAAACTTGTATTAGCTTACACTTTGCTACTTCTTTGTATTCCTTTACAAATTTCCAATGTATTAATATCCGAGTTCATGAATTGAAAGACTTTTTAAAGATTATATTTCAATGAAGTAAAATTTAAAATAAAAAAAAATTTCACTTGCAGGATAGTGATGAATTTCCTCTGAATGGTCGTCCTTTTGGTGGAGCATTTGAGTTTACTTCAATTATTTCCAAGAGCAGGTTTTCTTTTGAAACATCCTCTTGTGAATCCGCGACGTACAGAGGAAGATCAGATGTGGGGTCAGATCATGCAAGTATGCCAGTAAGGACGAGTGTTGGAGATGGTTCCCGTGTTAGTGTGTCAGGTGTTAGCTATGTTAGTAGTGTAGGATCAGGAGGACCAGATGACATAGAGTCTCTAGGCGACGTTTTCATATGGGGAGAGGTTTGGGCCGACGGGAATTCGTCTGACGGGTTAGGGAGTCAAGTCGCTTCCAAGACAGATGTCCTGGTTCCTAAGTCATTAGAGTCTAATGTTGTTCTTGATGTTCATTTAATACAACCTGGTGTAAATCACGTTGCTCTAGTAACACGGCAAGGAGAGGTTTTTACCTGGGGAGAGGACTTTGGTGGAAGACTTGGACACGGGTTTGATAAAGATTTTGGTAAACCGAATCTTGTCGAGTCCCTAGCAGTTACTAACATGAATTTTGTTGCATGTGGTGAATATCATACATGTGCGGTATCTACATCCGGGGATTTGTACACCTGGGGTGACGGGGCACATAACGCTGGAATTTTAGGCCATGGAACTGATGTTAGCCATTGTATACCGAAGCGTGTCACTGGGATTTTAGAAGGACATCAGGTTATATCTATAGCATGTGGCTCATGGCATACAGCATTGATAACCGCCAATGGGAAACTTTTTACTTTTGGTGATGGAATGCTAGGTGTATTAGGGCATGGAGATAGAGAGAGTGTGTTGTATCCAAAAGAGGTACAGTTATCTAGTGGACATAAGGCTATTCAGGTTGCATGTGGAGTGTGGCACACGGCAGCCATTATAGAGGTCACGGATCATTCGGGTTCAAATCCTTCTTCATCAAAGAGGATATTCACGTGGGGCGATGGTGATCAATATCGTTTAGGTCATGCTAACAAGGAAACCTGCCTTCAACCGACTTGTGTGGCTGCACTTGCTGAATATAACTTTCACCAGGTTGCATGTGGACAAAGTTTGACTGTTGCACTAACCGCATCCGGCCATGTATTTAGTATGGGAAGCACGGCATACGGTCAACTAGGAAATCCAAACTCTGATGGCAAAGTGCCAATTCTAGTAAGAGATAAGTTACAGGGTGAATCTGTTGAGGAAATATCGTGCGGCGCACATCATGTTGCGGTATTAACTTCAAGAAGTGAGCTATATACTTGGGGGAGAGGTGCCAATGGAAGATTAGGACATGGAGACATAGAAGATCAGAAAACTCCAACATTGGTGGAAGCCTTGAAAGAAAGGCATGTAAAGAATATTGCATGTGGCGCAAATTTTACTACTTGTATATGCATACATAAATGGGTTTCTGGGAATGACCAATCGGTTTGCTCCGGTTGCAGGCAACCATTCGGTTTTACTAGAAAAAGACATAATTGTTATCATTGTGGATTGGTGTATTGCCATCCTTGTAGTTCGAAAAAAGCCCTTAAAGCAGCATTGGCTCCTACACCTAGCAAACCGCATCGTGTGTGTGACACTTGCTATGCTAAGCTTAAAGGTTCTGATAGTGGTAACAGTTCCAGTTATAATCGAGACATTACTCGTCCTTCTAGTTCCACTTATGGAAGGGAAAGATATGACAGGGGAGATGTAAGGACTTCAAGTATTCTCTTGTCTTCTGCCACTGGTCAAGCGAAATACTTTGACATAAGGAGTAATGGGCTTGGAAGTGCACAAGACTTATCTCCCATGGTTCCGTTGCGATTACAATTGAAAGATGTCATATTTCCTGGTTCATCAAGTACGACGCAGAATGCCACTGCGTCGAGGCCTCTTATTATGCAGCAAAGTAATCCCCCAACCCCACCTTCATTGGTTAATTCAAGACCAACCTCTCCGTATTCAAGAAGACCGCCAAGCCCGACACGTTCTATCTCCCCTGGATTTTCAAGAAGCCTTATTGATAATTTAAAGAAAAAAAACGAGCTTTTGAGTCAAGAAGTCTCAAAGTTGCAAAACCATGTACGTTTCATAAACCATATTATAACTAATCAAACTGAAACGCTTTTAATTAGTTATTTTATTCTCTGAGAAATCCATTAATAACTTATATGAATACTTCTTTTCTTACATAAAGATTCGAAGTTTAAAGCAAAAAGCTAACATGAAAGATACAAAGATTCATGAGCTTCAGAAAAATATTCAAGAAGCCAATCTATTGGCTGGAGAGGAATCTTCTAAGCATAGAGAGGCAAGGGAATTCATCAAGTCCATGACAGATGAGGTATTTCGATTCTACATTTTGACATCATGATCGAAAACAGCTAATGACATGTCCATAAACTGTTTTCATCTTATTTTCTTAAGCTCTTTAGTATAACTTACAAAAACAGCTTATAGCTCATATGAAAGAAATTTGACTTATATCTTATATTTTGTTATGGAGCTAGTTTATAAATAAGTACTTATAAGTTATATGATGAATACTTATATTATAAGTGCTCAGCTAAGATGTTTAGTCAACCAAGGCTCCACCGCATGATATAGGCTTAATGCTTGAGTCTGGTGGGAAATTGAAAGTTTGTTGATAAGGATTTCTGGTTATTCGTACTAAATAGCTAAATTCGCTTCTTCGTTTGTTATTGTTTAGTTGAGGGAAGTGACTGAAAAGCTGCCACCAGAGAATCCTGGATGTGAAACCTTGAAAGAGATCCATGCTCAAGCTCAATCTATTCTGAAACAAAATGTAGAATTTGAATCTCCATTCCAATCGAGCTTTGAGTCTGAGAAACAAAGTGCGCCTGATATATCAGAATCAGATAGCGAATTTTCAAACCTGCAAAGAATCGAAGGAAATGGTGAAGTTTCTGAGGCTGTTCCATCTATAGATGGAGAAACTGTTCCGCAAGAAAGCAACAGCTCGTATTTATCTAGTTCCAGATCAGCCGAGTCGCACAGGACTGTGAAAGAAGGAGAAACATCGGTCATTGAACAATTCGAACACGGTGTTTATATCACAGTCATAGTAGAATCTGATGGTGGCAAAATTTTCAAACGTGTTAGATTCAGGTATGAGAACAATTCGAACTATTAATTTGTGTATTGGTTTTCTTATTTAAGTTCTTTTATCTTTAATCACAATTCATCATTTTTTCCTCCTTTTCTGGTAACAGTAAGCGAAGATTCAATGAGCAACAAGCAGAAGAATGGTGGAACAAAAACAAAGATAGGGTGTATAGAAGATATACTCCACCACAAGAAATTATTGGTTCATCTAGCACCCCACCTCATGGTGAAGGAAATATTGAGACATCACCTTCTTCTTAAACATATCTCTCTGGTCTACAATGTCGCCACATTGGTCAGCTTATATGAACCAGAAGAATGGAATCAGAACCAATCAACCAAGTGTAGAGAATTAGGAGAATTAGCGCAAACACTACATTAGAAGCAATTACATTGACACCAAACATGTCATTGACACTAACACATACATACACACACGTAAAGAAATAACTATGATTGAATGTAATCATGTATATTGGTGTCAGACACCGGATACACAATTTTGTCAAATGTGATTTAGCAAAGTCTACTGTAGGTAGACAACTCTTCCTAAAGGATATTGTTCTGTCCGAGAATCAGAATTGTTGATGCAGGTGGTGCAAGCTACTCCCGTGTGATTGCGTGGGGTGGACCTGCAAGATTAATATTAAAATGGACGCCTTACATTTCTGCTGCTCACACCTTGGTATATATACAATGGACGACAATTGGGCTTATAGGGCGTTGGGCCTGTGGCCGGCCCAGAACTGAGAACTGATATATTTAATGACTTTGAATAGAAAGGTTAGGTTGTGTTGTTGTTTATACTCTATAGATTAATTATTGCATATAAATTCATTAAACTTTTAATTACTTTCACAACAATTATGACAAATACAGAGCTTGTGGCTATCACTTTCTAAAGAAGTGTGGAAGCAAGTGGCTGATGGTATGTGAGGGGTCACATTCCTGTCTATTTGACTGCCAAACAGAACCTAACTATACTGCTTATTCAGATTGGGAAAAAATAGTCTAAACTTTCAATGCCAGCTAATGTTTGTCTCTTTTCATTTGTCTAGTCAATTCAAATTTCTATATTCAAATTCTCATTATCTCCTTTCGAAATTGAAAGCACATGTACACATTTGGTTATTCAATTATTAACCAAAGAAAACCACCAATAAAGTATAGTACAATTAAGACTATCAGATAATCATGTTGATAATCAAGTTTTTAAGTATATGATTAGAGACTTAATCTTTGACTAGTGTCCATAGAAGGTTAATCCTCCTCCAAATTTAAGAAGAAAGAAAAATTATATTGTTTCGTTCAGAACTAGAAATAATCGGTGGAACGATGAAGTGATGTCTTGTTGCGGTGGATTTGTGCTTGCGCGGCAGAGAGAAAGCTGACCAGCAAAGTTAGTACTTAAACATTCAAGTCAAGTAAAAAGATAAAGAGTAATATGTGACTTAGAGTGCGTTTGAATCACATCTTTCTCTTTATGCAGGGTATCTTATATACGAAAGTTGGTTGAGGTGTTCAAGACCTGGATTAGATGTGAGGTTTTGTCTTATTGAGGCTTTGATCGGTCCAAAACACATATAAACATGAATTTAAAAGTTTTGATAAATTTTCATAATCCATAAATGATTATACTAATTACTTCACTTAGAAGTTAATGTCAAATAGTAGGGTATACTCAAGTATTAAACTAATAAAATGTTTTTTTTCTTTTTCTCTTTCTGTTATGAGGAGCGTAAGTGCTTTTCAATTTTTCATTGGTGAAACATCAATTTGTCTATATATTAAGAATTGGACCCTACACAAGACACATTCAAAAGTTGCATAATATGCACACCACATGGGAGAACCTATACTAGTTGCCTTTACAGAATTTAGCTTTCTTAATTCTCACCATACTTAGCGCCCAAGGCTGCTTCCATGCTGTCAACTCTATCAAAAGGGATATATGATCTTGGACTTAAAAATTACACTTTTAGCATAAAGATTTCATTATATTACAAGTTTACAACTCATATCATCACTATTGTTCCGGTACACCAAAATAATCTTATATTACTTGATACACGAGGCTAAAGATAGTTTATATGTAATATATTATTTCAGTCATTATTATAAATAAAAATTCTTTTTTTAAATTTATTGAATAATAAATGTATTTGATACGTATGTATGTAGACCAGATACATTCATTAATATCTTGTAGACACAACACTAATGCGGGGTCAATCAAAACATTGACACTAAATTAAAAATCAAAGCAATGGCACTTGTGTAATTCTATTATCAAACCATGTGCAAATTGGATTGAGCAACAAAAAGATACATGCAACTTGTAGAACAAAACAAAGTGATAATAATATAACAAAACTAAAAAGTAAGCATCAAAGTTCCTTCATGAGATTGAGAATCCTTTCATTTTCCATTTTCAATATAGGAATAACTCTTCCTTAGGACATTCTTTCAACCCTTCTCAATCAAACTCTTTCTCTAATAAACTCTCTTTTCAACCAAGATCAATCACATACCAATAACCATGTCTCGTTTGAAGCTATCAAAGAAACTCAAACCAGCCAAGAAAGCATGGAAAAACCTCTCAAACAATTTCCAATCAAAACTCCACAAACTCAACATTCAAAAAGCTTTCAAAACCACCCTTCAACGCCTTCTTTCACTCTTTCATTCCATCACTCATCTCATAACCTCAAAAACCACTCATCATCGCTCTCTCACTTCTTCTAAATCATTATATTCCCCTTCGACTTCTTATTACCATTTTCAACACAAGAACTTTCCAGCTATCCCTATCTATAACAAACCGAGCAGTAGCAGTAGCATCAGCAGTAGTATTCGTCATGCGCAAGGAAACACAAGTAGAGAGATTGAAGAGGTGCATGGTGATGACGACAACAAGACCAATGAGATGAATACTATAGAAGATGCATGGAAAGCTGTGGTTGCGAAGTCTCCAATGATGCATGTGGATCAAAAAGCTGAAGAATTTATCTATAAATTTCGTGAAGATATAAGGCTTCAAAAGGAGAAATCATTGCTTGAATTTCATGAGAGGCTAGCAAGAAGTACCTAAATTTCATCATCATTCATTTTTTATTTCATGTATATAAGTATATGATTTGATATGATATGATACATATCATGGTTTGTTATTTTTTTGTTTTGTTATTTTTATTTTTTTTACTTTCATTGAGTTCTATTGAGAAGCAAAGAAATTTTTACTTTGTTTTTAGACAATAAGAAGCAAGAAAGTAATTAGCATTTAGTTATTGGTTTTGGAATGATGTGTGAAGATATTCTGAAGATGTATATCAAACTTGTGAGCAATTTATAAGGTGATATTTCATTTCATGTGGAATTATGACATGCAAGATCAATTTATAAGATAGCCAATTTATATAACATTTTAAAGATATATCCCATTCCATGTGACACTTGTATCTATCCATGAATAAGAATGAACATCCTGTTCTAGGTTCAATAATGGGTGTTTTCTTTTTTGTTAAAAGGAAAGAAGGATAACGAGGAGTCTAACCGATCTTAGTGAGATTTTATCAACTTAAAATTTTGGTTGGACTTAAGTCTTAAATTTAGTTTTCAACTAATTTCACATTTTAAAAATTACTCTTTTGTTTGTTAGATATATGAAAATCCAAGTCAGCACTTGTCATGAGTATTAGTTAAATAAATTACTCTTTTAACAAAGGCCCCTTAAGTCCTAGTTATCAACTTTGAAGCGAGGAGTATTGAAGTTAAAAAATCATTAAGACTAATCTAGAAATAACTGTCACTAAATTTGCTTGTATGTTGAGAATATACTTTCAGATAGAGAGAATTTTGGTGTGACGTTGTGTGAGCATAGTTAGCATTAGGAGCATGCACACTTAATGCTCTTTATGTTTGCATAAAATTGTTATGGTGGAGGCCTCCACGTGCACTCAATAGATGTACTCGAATGTAGTTGTGAGTTTGATATTTCATTTGAGTCATTAGATGTGATATTTTATCTTCGGTTACATATTGGTTGTTGAGATCGGTACCCTTCTTGCCTTTAAAAGGGGAACTTGAGTTTCATTTCCATTTTTCGACTTCTTCGTCTCTTAAGTGCCAACATAGAGAGTTTACATGTGTCTCATTTCATTCTTGATTCAATTTCTGGGTTTTTGATCATCCTATTGAAGTTTCTCTTGCATTTTCACTCAAGTTTCCAGCCACCTACATTAGTTAAGGTATTTGCTTCTTCTTCTTCCTTTGTTAATTTATTTGCTTTTAATCATCTTCGAGTATGGCACGTCTTGGGAACCCAAATCTAGATATCCACATTATAAACTTTAGTGATATATAAATTGTTTTGGACTGGTCCAACGGCTAGAGTGGGTCCAGTCTAACCTCATTCTTCGGCGCGGCCAATGCGACAATAGCCCGGGCTCTCCGCCCTCCATCGGACACCATCAATCATTTTCCTTCCTAGACCAGCACTGACCTATGATAATCGACGAACGCCTCTCAGTTTTCCCCTCGATGAGATGACAACGCCCAACAAGGAAGAAACCATCACTCCTCGTCATCTTTGCTAGAAGATACCGATGATGACGAGCCTCGAGGCCCGTTATCGAGAGGAATTATGGAGGCACGACTCCTGGCCGGGCTCGAGAAACCGCCCCCATTGGGATCCTACGATGGTACGACCGACCGAACGACCACATAGAAGACATCCACACCCTACTTGATTACCGAGGCGTGAAGGGTGCAATCAAATGCAGATTGTTCCCGACCACTCTGAGAAAAGATGCCATGGCTTAGTACAAAAGTCTGCCCCCTGAATCTATCACTTCTTGGAAACATCTAGGAAAGATATTTTCGAGGCACTTCACCGCCTCCCGCCGGCATCCAAAATCAAAGGCTTCACTTAAAGAAATTATCCAGGGCAAAGGGGAATCTCTATGTGCATATATAGAGCGCTTCAACAAAGAATTTTTACAGGTCTCGACGACCGATGCCAAGAAGAAGTACCTTCTTAAACGAGGGCTTTGTCCCTGCAGCGAATTCGCGAAGGTTGTGGGCATCGGAACTCCAGCCACGCTTGACTCCCTCCTCCTCAAGGCCCAAGCGTACATTCAGTACGAGGAGAAAGAAGCGGCCAACAAGGCCAGAGATTTAAGGCACCGAGAGAGTGCCAAATCCTCGAGAAGCGACGAGCTCTCGACATCCCGTCGGGCGGGAGAGAAAGCGGGAAGACAGAC